TTTCTAACTCATGATGACAATAGTTTCAACGACTACTCTTTTTTAGACTACTGATACAAAGATTTCACATGCATTATCTAATACAATCTTCAAAATAGGACAAGTGTTATTACCTACTTTTAAGAGCTGAAAAAACAAAACAAAACAAGATAACTCGGGTTAAGTGACTTATCCGAAGTCACTCAGCCATGAGCAGCAGAGACAAAAAACACAGGCTACAGTTTTGACCCCTAGTGCACTGTTCTCTCCAGCTTAACTGGGTTGCCTCAATGCAGATGTTAGCCCACATAGAGAAGGGGTGTGGGCATGGTATTAAGTTGACTAGAAGACCCCGGAGGCTCCTGTGGATACAGACTCTGTTGTTAAGGTCGCACTCCTCACTACTGGGACCTAGTGCTTCTTCCCTCCATTCTTTTCTGATCCTTTTTCTTCTGTCAGTTTCTAAGGTTTCACAGTAACATTAAAAGTGTTACCAACCCTTGAAAATGGTAGTTTGGATTCTGCTAAACTCTGTTTCTCCCCTTTCCTTCAACCTTAGATTTTACTTCTCCAGGGTAAACAGCAAGGATAGGCCTGTATGAGGTAGAGAGCTCCACCTTCTGCCATGTGTGCACCCAGATTACCTACCGCTTCCACTAAGGTGGTCTTCTCTACATGTAAGGTGGTCTTCTCTACATCTGTGGCTTACCATTCTAACTCCAAAATACAGTTTATCAGAGGGAAAGGACTTTATTAAAAAGAAAGCATAATTTTCTACTATTTTAATTCTTTTGACACATTTAAAATAATTACAGAAACCTTTCTGAAATATTCTCAATAGAATTAGATTCTTTTCAAATCATTAGAAATCTAGACTTTTTTTTAGCCAAAAGCCCATCTTAGGTTACTAAGTCATTTTTTTTGACCTGCTGGGCTCCGGCAATCCTTCTGCCTCAGCCTTCCAAGTAGCTGGAACTACAGGCACGCGCTACCATGCCCGGCTCATTTTTGATTTATTGTAGAAATGAGGTCTCGCCAAGTTGCCCAGGCGGGTCTTGAACCCGCGGACTCAGGCAATCCACTCACTTCAACCTCCCAAAGCGCTGGGATTACAGGCTGAGCCACCGAGCCCGGCTCCACAATTCTTCACTGCCATATCTAAGACCATTTCACTTATCTGATACTTTCTTCCTTTCTCAGGGTGGCTGAAAGTTCTAAGCTGATGGAGAAATTATTCGAAGAAGCCACTTTGTTATTACATCCACATAAGACTGACAATAATCTCTAACTACTGAGAGACATAGGGGCAGCTTATAGTGAAAACTGTCTCCAGTGACATTGCAATTTACAGTAGCCCCTGCTAGAAACTAGCATGGTTTCCATGGTCAGTTATTTCTCTCCAAGCAAAATATTTAAGAAACTTCTGTCAACATGTCTTTCTGTCCCATGTCCCTGGCACATCCTCTGAACAGCTAGACCTTGGCAAGGAAAAGGATGCCAAGAACTGATGGCCATATGTTCCCCAATCTTCTTTTCTATTTTTTTTTTTTTTAAGTTGGAGTCTCACTCTGTCACCCAGAGTGCTCCTGGCCACCGCAGCCTCGACCTGCTGGCTCCAGCAATCCTTCTGCCTCAGCCTTCCAAGTAGCTGGAACTACAGGCACGCGCTACCACGCCCGGCTCATTTTTTTATTTATTGTAGAGATGAGGTCTCACCAAGTTGCCCAGGCGGGTCTCGAACCCGCGGGCTCAGGCAATCCACTCACCTCAGCCTCCCAAGGCGTGGGATTACAGGATGAGCCACCGAGCCCGGCCTTCTTTTCTATTTACCTCAATTTTCCATTGGCCCTGAGGAACCGATTCACTAGCCAAGAGAATTCCCAATTGGCCAGAGGCTTTTGGAGAGTTGGGCAGGCTTTTAACCATCCAGAACACTCTTTGGGGTATCCGGAGAAATCTAGCTGCTCAGAAACTCCCAAACAAGGCAATTCAGACCCTGAAGCCACTTCCTAAACAAAAAGAAATACAGGATTCTGGGGGTGTGAATGAGGATGTAGTGCTATCAACACACTTAGTAGTGATTCCTGGACTTTCTTTTAGGTCTGTACAAAGTCAGGATGTCAGAGTGTTCTGACTCAGCGTGCCACACCACACGTCCCTAGAATTGATCTAGCTGATTCGACTAAACCCTTTTGCTTCCTTATTGCTCAGCAATGGCCCCTCCCAAAGCTACACATGCTTGATGAAAACCTTCCCAGGTAACAAAGGAATGCTCTTTGGTAAAGGGTTTCTAAGTAGCTAAAGCGCCTGTACTTGAAACTCAGTGTGAGTTAATCCCTCTGAAGTCCTGTCTGCTTAGCCAAGTTGTCCAGTCCCTAGAGGGGAAAATGTCTCAAACGAGCAGGTGAAGTAATCACTCTGTTGTGAAGCACATCTTGGTATAAAGCCTCTTTAAGAAAACCCCGGATCCCATTAACAGGATTCCAAGATAAAGTCCCTCACACAGTGGCTGCATGAAACATGAAATGAGCTCCTAAACTCACCAAATTAGCTTAATGGAACACTAATAGTAATTTTTCTATTTAACGCACCTATATTCCCAGTAAAAGAATGTGCCTATCAACAGAGATAGAACCTAATATTATATCTCTCAGTTATACAATTCTGAAAACTATATCCTAGATAAGACAAGCTGGCTTCACTTAAGGACACTAATAGAAAGATCAGACAGAATTTCAGCATCAATGGAAAGTGTGTTTCTAGATGATCTGAAAGAGACTATCCTTGTTCTGAGAGAACTGAAGCAAAAACTTATGAGAGAGAAACGGAGACAAGGAAATATTTATCTAAAGCTGCAAAGAGTTAAAAAGTGTTAACACACCAACCATTCATTGAGCCCACTCTCTTAAAACTGAAATGTTTATACTTCTAACAATTGCTAATAACATCACGTTCCCTGGACCCTCCTTGCAACAAAATACCAAAAGTGTGAATATCACTATTTTGTCTTTCTTAGGTCAAATCTGTAAAAGCACTCTTGCCTAATGCTGGCTGACACTGCAGCATTATGTTCAGGTGACTGTGCACTGTCAAACCGTACAGGGCAAAGGAAAGGCTTTTCACTTGCAAAACAGGAGAAGCAAAGGATGAACAGCCTGCTTTGGAATTTGATTAGATGGAACTCCCACATTGCCCTTCTTCAGGAGAGACAAATGAGAGGGGACCCCAAAAGCCCTGGAATTTATTTATAAAAAACTGTGCATTTATTCTTGTGCTTAAACTTGAGTCACCTTCAAAGAACTCTCTGTTTGATGTAATATACCTACCGAGACACTTTTCCCACTGCTCAAAGTAGTTTTCAGCAGACAGGACTTCAGAACACTCTGACATCCTGACTTTGTACAGACCTAAAAGAAAGCCTTCTAGTGCTTCTGCCATGTTTCACTTCTTCCACATTGGTAAAACATTTCCCTTTAAGGACTTTTTTCATCCAGGGAAACAAAGTTGCTCAGGGTGAGATCGGGTGGGGGCAGGGGTCATCATGCTTTTGGTCAAAAAACGCTGAACACTCAGCGTGGTGTGGGCAGGTGTGCTCATAAATCACCCATCAGGTAATGGGCAAACATGCTGAAAGAATCTCCAAAAAAAAACGTACTGAAGCTGAACGCAGCCTCTCACAACAACGCTAGCTGGTACGCTGATGTCAATGGGTTCCTAGAACATTTACCTAGCACGGGAAGCCTGTCCTACAAGGGGCCCACCCTCCAAAAAAATAATTCCGTGGTTTTTTGGGGGGGAGGAGGTGGTCCCCTCTCGTAAAATATTTGGTCCTTCCCATGCACTTTATTTTATTTTATTTTCTTTGAGTCTGGGTCTCATTCTCTCACCCAGGCTGGACTGCAGTGGTGTGATCCCAGCTCACTACAGTCTCTACCTCCTGGACTCAAGCAATTCTCCCATCTCGGCCTCCCGAGTCCCTGGAAGGCTAGGCACCATGCCTGGCTAATTTTCTTATTTTTATAGAGACATAGTCTCACTATGTTGTCAAGGATCCTGTGTACTTTAGAAAATCATCTACTTGTTTAGTATTCGTAAATTGAGATTTTTTTCAATTGTAAAAACAAATAAAAACACATAAGTAAAAATGTTTTTAAAAATAGTCCCCTTGGCCGGGTGCGGTGGCTCAAGTCTATAATCCCAGCACTTTGGGAGGCCAAGGCGAGAGGATTGCCTGAGCCCACAGGTTCGAGAACAGCCTGGGCAACATGGTGAGACCTCGTCTCTACAATAAATCAAAAAATTAGCCAGGTGTGGTAGCATGTGCCTGTAGTTCCGGCTACTTGGAAGGCTGAGGCGGAAGGATCACCTGAGCCCAGCAGGTCGAGGCTGCGGTAGCCAGGAACATGCCACTGCACTCCAGTCTGGGCAACAGAGTGAGACTCCAACTCAATAAATAAATAGATAAATAAATATTAAAAAAATAAAAAAATAAAATAGTCTCCCTAATTATTAGAGGAAGCATTCTGCACCTATTTTCTCCCTATTTCATTGTTGATAATGCCCAGAAAGGTGACCTTATCTCTGAAGTCCACTTTAAGTATAAATGTTTAGTAAGCGTTTGCCACCATAATACTAGTCTGGTTCTTGCCACAGGGGAGGGAACTAACAGCAGAGCTGAGATGTAGATCATTTGGTGTTCTTGAATAATAGGTGAATAGAAATCCCCGGACAGAAACAACTGGTTTTGGGCTAGCCACATGGGCACACGAGTTTACGTGGCACTTCTAGCTAATAAACACCAAGTGAAGAGGCACTTGAGCTAAGTCTAAAATATATTGACCAATGTGGAAGAATGATTGTCTTCAAGTTAAACAGAACAGTTACACCAATCACAAGCTATCAATAAATCATTTTTCACATCAAAAGTGTGATCTACTGTACTTTGAGCTCATTGTGAAACACTGTTTACTCATACAGCCCAATCACATTGCAAGTCCTTTAGATTCTATCACCAGCCTTACCTGCAAGCAGGTGAACAGAGTTGAAGCTCTTCTCCAGTTTACCCAGAAGTACAGTGAGAAAGCAGTCTGAGGATAGAGAGGCAACATCCTGGGAGCTTTGATCGTAAACTACAACCTTCTGGCTGCAATCAATGTCAACCTGAAATGCCAACATGAGGCTTGTTAGGAAAGAAGGTGAGAAAAACCATCTCATAAAAGTAGGACCTCACATACTCTGGCACTGAAGCAAATAACTGCTTCCAGTTTTCAAGGAAATAATAATTCGAATAAAAATGAGATTCAGTAAATTTACAGAATTAATTTAGCATACAAAGTGTTTGAGTGCTCATAAAAATCAACTTCTAAAAGGCAAAATTGATGCTACTTCTGTGCAAATAGGCTCAGAACTCCTTAGTTTTAAATACTTGACACTATAAAAGAATAAAGCTCATAAACCAAATAATATGTAAAATAAACATAGCCCTTGATCTAAAGAAACATTTTAAATGGTTTCTACATAACAACAAAAGATAACAATTGCTTATTAAAATTAAAATATGAGCTCATTTTTATTCCCGAAAAAAAGAAATAGCTTTCTCTACCACACAGACAAATTTTGGTATCCCAAGAATAACTTTTCTTGAAGCTAATACCCCTTAAGTCTTGACCAATGTTACCACATGTAAAAAGCACTTCCAACAATTAGTTCTTACTTTCTTCCCAAAGAACTTGAAAAGAATGACTTCCTTTTCAGTAAATTTCAAGATAATATGATGTTTAAATTGATTAAATAATGTTAGCAAGCCAGAGGAAAACACAGCACTTGTCTAAATTAAGGCAAGTTACCCTTTCTGTATACTTAAGAAAGGGTATACAGAATGTATACCCTTGAATTGTCATAATATGGTTAGTAAATTATTTTGAGGTATCACAAAGTACCAAAATGGAAAAAGCAACCCAAACTTCCTGAAATTACTTTCTCCACTTAAAAAGCAGGGTTCAATTAAAATCATTCCCCATTCAGTGTGTGCATTTGTTTGAAAAAGGCAAAAATGAAAGCATTTACCTTATGTTTTGCTGAATGCTGGATGAGCTCTGTAATTAACACTTTGTCCTGTTGCAACCTTCGCTTCATAAGCTTGGAGCAGTTGATATTAATGGCTTCCAAAATGTGGGATGTATTGTATTCCACAAATGGCCGGCTATCAATTAGCAGCACTTTTTCCGTTCCACTTTCCAGCAGAGCCACCAACCTCTCAGTAACAATTTGAGTTCCAATCATCTCATGGGCCATGACAACAATAAGTCCTCTTTTTCCACCTCCGTCTTTAATTTGCCACGATGATGTAATGATGGTGTGCTCAAAGGCTCAGCAACTCCATTGTACTAAAAATGTATGAGGTCAGGCTGGTGGTGACTGGCAAAAGGAGAGTTAAACCCATTTTCAGCAAGAGCCCTCCAAGTGAATGTCTCTTTCTCTTTCCCGTTGATGTGCTCTTGCAAAGGACTCCGTCCACAAAGCAGTCCCTCACATTTGATTCATAAAGAGATGACTGGAATAACCATCCCACAACAAAAGATGCTTTGGGGCGGCCAGAGCATTACATCATTCTTTACCTTTGCTCCCTCGCTCCAACAGCTTTACACTGGACTGAAAGCCTACACGGAGAAAGACAGAAAACAAAACAAGAGGTCAAAAAAAAGAAGAAAGAGCATCAGATTAGAGAGTGTATGATTCATAATATTTACTCCATTAATCTAATTCCATACTTGATGCACTGATTCATTTGAACAAACAAAAAGGAAAAATAGGTATGCCTTCGGAAAAATGTGCTAGTGCTCATTCAGTTTTGCTTCAAAATGTAAAAAACTCAAAGAAAACAAAAGAAGACATAGCCATCAATCACAATCACCTGGGGCCCGGAACTGAGTGACCTGTAGTATAAAATTAAAAGGGCTATAAAAAGCTGCTTCAAGTAGTCTTATTCCAAATGGTTTTCTTCCATCTTATTTGCTTATTTATTGAAAACAGCACAAAGAACTGCAGCAGCCTAGGGCCAAGTTAGTAATCTCATGTTATCAGGATAAAAAATTTTTTTCTGATGGCTGGAGAACGACTGTGATGAGTGGGTGTGTGTGCACACACAAGCACCAGGGCACAGACAGTAGCCCTTTTAAATTGCCCTAATGGAGGAGTGAAGATGCAGGACAACAGAAGGTTCTGTAAATTTCGGCTACCTTTTAGGGAAGAGGAAAGATTAAAATGGCTGATACGCTTGTCACAGCAACTGCTGAGCTGTTCCTGGGGATTGTGGTGTGCCCAGCTCCACCTGAGGCAGTCTCACAGCTATGACCCTGGCCTGCATCCTTCCCATGCCCATCACCCCTGGCCTGAGTTCCTCAAATTTCCTTCTTCAGAGAATCACAGACTCTCAGCCTTAAAAATCTCACCCCTTAACCTGGGACCAGCAATGAGCAACCCAGACATCAGCACCCTTAAAGACGGACCCAGTGCTTCCCTGTTCTTGCCAAGCTCCTTTAATCAACCATTTTCTAACTAACACTAGTTGGAGTTTTGTGCTCACTGCTTGGACCTCACCTTGACCTTTAACATTCTGAGATTCCTGCCCACCCGCACCATCTCTGCTTATACAAAATCCTCTACTACGTAAAACTAGATGTCTACTTTTGGCATACAAATTCTAGAGGATACACTGATGGCAAAGACTCTGTATTATATTCCTCCCCCCAGTGCTTGGCACACATGACGCTCAATGTACATTATTAACGGAAGTAAAATCCTCCTTGTTTTGAAATGATTTTAATTAAATATTTGATTAACTGATTTCAGATCAGGATGATAAGAGCTTTCAGACATTTTTGAGTCATACCCTAATTTTATACTTACAAATTAGCAGCTAAGGCACCCAGTGAGAAGTGAGAATGAGCAGTGTGTAAAGAGGAGGAGCCTTGCCATTTGCCTGTTATGTAGTTTTGGACCAACCATATAACCTCTCTAAACCAGTTTCCTCATCAAATATGAATATAGATATTATCATGGTCTTGTCTCCTCAAAGTTTGTTCTGAAGACAGAATTACTTCATCTATTGAAAGTCTGCAAGTAAAAAGGCAACTACACGGTATATAGAGAAAGGAGGAAACATGCTCTAATGATACCAAAGGCGAACAAAGCTGGCTTGCATCTGGAATCTAAGAGACATCCCTCACAGATAAAAACAGATGTAATTCCATCCTCCTGTGGTCCAGCTGCAACAAAGCTGTGTCCTTTCTCACAAAGACTGACATGCATGGAGTTAGAAGGCACCTGAGATGCCATCTCAGTTACCCCACATTTTATAAATCAGCTCCATTTAACACATTGCATGTCCACTTCTTGTTTTCCAAAAAACATGCTTCATTACATTAATGTATTTAAAGGCAGCAAAGTACAAAAGTCATCTCTATTTTCAACTAAAGAAACTGGAACAGAGACTTTGTCCTAGTCAATCCACTAATAAATTTTTGCAAAGCGCCTGTCAAGCTACAGCACTGAATCAAGTGCTGCCTGCTTCAGTGGCACAGTTCATGACAATGTAAGGTCCGTACTTAGATTGTTTGGCTCCAAAATCAGGGCTTCTACTACTGGATTACCCCGTTTTCCCCAAGTGCCTGTTCCCATAATGGAACTGTACTGGGAAAGAATGACATGACCTGTCCGTGAGGGTGCTGGGGTGGCACAGAAAGTGGAAATCCGAGAACAGGAGCAGGTTGATTCCAACAATGGCATTGGGTCTCTGCGTCTGATTGGTTCCTCTCAATGATAAAATCCGGATGGGACAAAGCAATTATCTGGGTTAGCAGATCAAGGGACAAAAGAAGGGAGAAGACGACAAACATGCAAAAGTTGAATTAGAAAGACTTCTCTTTGCTGCCTGTCAGCCAAATCTCAGATGCCCAAAGACAGGCCGTGGCAAACTGTTCTACGGAGCAGAAGATAGTCACTCTTGCCAGTTTGCTTGGCCATCCTGATCACTCAGTAGTTACAGAGACAAAAAGACCCTTTCCCTGACCCAAAATAGGTCTGGTCAAAGTGACTCAAATATGAGGATGTAATTGAAGCAAAGGGGTGAGTGAAGTGAGGATTAAATTACCCCCTCTCAGTGCTGCACCAAGGCCAGCTGGAGCCCTCCTGTTACACCCTGACGCCCAGGTCTCATTGTCTGTAGCCCTCAGTTGATTATTTGAGAGGCAAAGCCCTGCCAAGGGGTCGTGGAGAATGAGGTAGCCATGGCCTTAACCTCGTTTATTACAGCTAGAGAATTCTGGTTAAAACCTCATCTTGGCTAAAACTCTAATTCTAAAGATGTTTCTGTACTCATTGTTTTGTTTTCAAAAGCTTTTGCATCAGGTAGGGTTTCAAAGATGACAATAGAATATTTTATTGTTTGCAACATCGCCAAGCTAATTGTACCCCAAATCTCTACAAAAAGTCAAAAGGAATAAAAATTCTTAAACTGAACCGCAGAGGCCCAAGTGCATAGAACAAAGTCCAGGGCAGATCAGCTTCGCTATTTATCTACTTACTTAGCCAATTTTTATTTTTATTTATTTTTTAACCTTTAATTTTTTTTATTTGAAAGATGTGGGGTACAATTCAGAGTCAGGTATACAAATGTTCATTATGCAGGTACCCTTGTTAATGAGGTGTGCCCCCCCTCACCTGGCAGTTTCCCTTAACTGCCAATCCCACCCCCGTCCCCTGTTTCCCACTACTGCCAGTCCCTTTCTTACAGTGTTATGATAATTGTTCAACGTCCGCTTCTGTTCTTTGTTTCTGTGATAGATCACTGAGTATGATACACTCTAAATCTATCCAAGTTGCTGCAAAGTCCATATGTCTGTCCTTCTTTATGGCTGCAAAGTACTCCATTGTGCATATGAACCACGTTTTTTTATCCAGTCCAGTTTTGATGGGCAGCATGGTTGGTTCCATGTTTTTGCTATTGTGAACAGTGCTGCAATAAATACGCATGTGCAGGTATCTTTTTTGTAGAATGCTTTGCGTTCCTCCAGGTATATCCCCAATAGGGGGATTGCTGGGCCATATGAAAGGTCAGTTTCTAGTTCTTTCATTCATCGCCACACTGTCTTCCAAAGAGGATGCACTAGTTTGCATTCCCACCAGCAGTGCGGAAACGTACCTTTTTCTCCGCATCCTCGCCAGCGTCTGTTGTTGTTGGTTTTATTGATGATGGCTGTTCTTACTGGGGTTAGGTGGTATCACAGTGTGGTTTTGATTTGCATTTCTCTGATGATGACTAAGGCTGAGCACTTTTTCACGTGTCTGTTGACTGCTCATAGATCTTTTGAGAAGTGTCTATTCATGTCTTTTGCCCACTTCTGAATGGGGCTATTTGGTTTTTTTTCCTTTCAGCATGTTTGAGGTCCTTGTAGATCCTACATGTTAGGCCTTTGCCAGATAAACAGTTGGCAAATATTTTTTCCCATTCTGTGGGCTGTCTCCCTGCTCTCTTGCTGGTTTCTTTGGCTTTGCAGAAGCTTTTCAGTTTGATGAGGTCCCACTTGTCTATCTTATCTTTTGTGTCATGGGCACTTGCGGTTTTGATCAGGAATTGGTTGCCAGTTCCAATTTCCATAAAGTGTCTCCTGCATTTTCTAAGATTCCTTTTTTTTTTTTTTTTTTTTTGAGTTGGAGTCTCACTCTGTCGCACAGACTGGAGTGCAGTGGTCGCTCCCGACCACCGCAGCCTCGCCCTGCTGGGCTCCAGCGATCCTTCCGCCTCAGCCTTCCAAGCAGCCGCAATTACAGGTAGGCATGCGCTACCATGCCCAATTGATTTTTTGATTTATTGTAGAGATGAGGTCTCGCTGCCCAGGCGGGTCTCGAAACCACGGGCTCAGGTAATCCACTCACCTCAGCCTCCCAAAGGCACGGGATTACAGGCTGAGCCACCGAGCCCGGTTTCTAAGATTCTTATAGTTTGAGTTTTTACGTTTAGGTCTTTGATCAATTTAGAGTTGATTTTTGTATAGGTGATAGGTAGGGGTCCTGTTTCAATCTTCTGCATGTGATCAGTCAATTATCCCAGCACCATTTACTGAATAGGTTCTCCTCTCCCCTGTGGTTGTTGGTGGAGGCTTTGTCAAAGATGAGTTGGTTGAGAAATTGAGATTTTGCTTCCGGAATCTCTATACTGATCCGTACGCCTGTTCTTGTACCAATACCCGCCTATTTTGATTATTGTAGCCTTTATAGTAAAGTTTGAAGTCTGGAAGTGTGATACCTCCTGCTTTGTTTCTTTTGCTAAGGATTATTTTGGTTATTTATGGTCGTTTATGTTTCCATATGAATTTCTGTATTATCATTTCCAGGTCTGAGAAGAATGATGTTGGTAATTTAATGGGTATTGTGGTGAATCTATAGATTGCCTTTGGTAGGATGGACATCTTAACAATGTTGATTCTTCCTATCCATGAACATGGAATATTTTTCCATTTGTTTGCATCTTCTTGGATTTCTTTGAGCAGTGTTTTGTAGTTCTCATTGTAAAGGTCTTTCACTTCCCTGGTTAGGAAGATGCCAAGGTGTTTCATTTTTTGTGTGGCTATTGTGAATGGGATCATGTTTTTTATTTGGT